AGGCGCGACCGGTGGCAGTGCCCATGAACGCCAGCAAGAAGGAAAACAGCACAGTCTCAGTGGAGCCGCTAAATTTCAGTCCGGCTTACACGCGCCTGAAACTCTCCCAAAACAGGAAAAGCCTGGTCCCCCGGCGCTTCTCGTTGGCAGCCCGCTGTCTTCAGCGCAAAAGCGGGCTCAAGGAGAGCTCGATGCCGCCGCAGGACTGCTGACTCTCATCCCTCGTCACTATGATGTTGCAAATTTAGCTTCAGGTGCGAGACAAACCGCCTCTTCGGAGGTGCAGCAGCTGCGGCAACAGGTGCGCCAAATGGAACGAAAGGTGCAAAGAGAGCGGTCGTCGATGCAGCGACAGCTGCGCCGGCTGCAACAGCAATTGAAGAGCGAACGGCGGCGCCGGCAACAGCTCCAGGCCCAAATGCAGCAGGTACGAGACGGTCAATCGCAGCAGCAGCACCTGCCTTGGCATTACCTTCTATGGCATCAGCAGCAGCAGCTGTTGCGCCAACAACAGCAGCAGCAGCAGTATTTGCTTCAACAGCAGGCGCACTTGCCGCAGCGGCCCCTGCATCAACCGCAACCGCCGCCTTTGCTTCAGCACGACCAGGAGAAGCGGCAGCGCTTGATGCAGCAGCAGGAACAGCACGTGATGCCTGTTGAGGAAGGCACACGGCAGCACACGCAGCGTAAGAGGAGGCGGGAAGAGCAAGGGGAGCTGCAGCCGAGGGAAGAGGAGCAGCATCGGCCGCGGCAACATGGCAATCAGCACCCAGGGCATTTGGTGGAAGATGAATGGCTTGAACCGGAGCTTCCAATTGCCCAAGCGCCTCAGCCGAGCACCTCTCAGCAAGCGTTGCAGCATTCAACTGCTGGAGCAGCAGCACGCCGCTCAACGTCCGAGGACCGCAGCACCCAGGTTACTCCTTTCCAGGTAGCCATCCAGCTGATTCCTGTACTTTCATCGGCTCCTGTTGTCTCAATCTCCGCTGCGGCGGCTGNCAGGTAGCCATCCAGCTGATTCCTGTACTTTCATCGGCTCCTGTTGTCTCAATCTCCGCTGCGGCGGCTGGCGCACAAAGGGATGACGCTCCTGTAGGTCCTCCAGTAGGGGCTGTAACATCGAACGCAGGAGTTGCGCTTGTATTGGCTGCTGCTGAACCGAAGTTCGCTGCACCAGTGACAACGGGAAAAGCCGTGAAGTTGAAGCCCCGAACTGTTTCTGGTTTGCAAAATCATGGGAGTGGCAAAAGTAATGGAACAGCAGCTGCTGGAACAGCAGCAGCAGGTTCCGCCATAGCCGCATCTGGATCGACTTCAGCAAGCACTACGCCGACAGATGACTCGGATTCTGTTCCTGATGATATTAGAGAACATCCGTTTGTGCATCTGCCTCAGCGACTTGCGAGCACGACTACGGAGACGGTTTTGGTTGATTTGAGGCGCGCCGTGACAGCCTGTCCCGGCAGGCTGGACCTCATTCCGCTATTGCAGGAGGCCCGTGATGTGCTGTCGCGGCGCTTTCTGTGTTTGGAAATGCAGAAGAAGTTGGCGCATCTAGCAGGGGCTTTGATAGAGCATGCGATGAACCACCAGCACCAGGACCTGTCAAAGGTGCGAACCACCCGCGCACTTGTTCGGCTGGCGTTGCGTTTTCTGCTTATGGATGTTGTGGTCTCCGCCTTCATAGTTCTCGACCAGACACCAGACGGAGATTTCTGGAAGCGCTTCACAGATACGGTTAGCCACAGCCCACCCTTGGGCCCTTCCCAGGGAAGCGGAGAAGGGCGGAATACTTTCGCCTTGTGTCTTGCTCGGGAGCTAAGCAAGGCAATAGTAACACTCAAAACTGGAGTGAGGCCAAAGCCTGAAGACCTTATGCGTATCAAACATATGCTCTTCTGCTCACCGTCCTCTCCGTCGCGTTTTAGAAGGCCTGATTTCGATGGATGGAGACAGGATAGCTGCGAGCGCATCGATGAACAGTAGCATTTTTTTAGTGGAGGAGGCTCTGGCGTACATTTTAGTAGAGGGGGAGGGACGACTGAGGAAATAGACCAATCTGCATTTTGAAAGAAGAATCCTTGGTGCTGTGACCACTTGCCTTCAGCNCGACTGAGGAAATAGACCAATCTGCATTTTGAAAGAAGAATCCTTGGTGCTGTGACCACTTGCCTTCAGCCATCGGTTGCCTTCACAGGGACCTGTGGCCGGAGCAACTGGCTGACGGGTGCATTCAACAAATACTCAAACGAGACGCTGCAGTGAATCCTTATCGCCAAACTAGCACTTTTGTGCAATTGCTTGCACGCGACTACGAACGCAGCGATAACAGTGTAGGCATCCAACATGAAATGAATGCGGAAGGTAATGTGGTGAGAGCGGTAACGAAGCTTTGCCGACTTTTTGTCTTATTGAACTACGCGACTTGGAAGTCGGATCGGTTCATAGGCATTCCCTTTCGCGTTTCGGGGCTTCCATAAGGTGACTATACGCTGCAGATTAGTGGCGCTACAGCGCCACTGTAAGGGTGTTCTGAGCATTCACGTCGGCTCTTGCATGCGATCGGGCGATGACAAGAACGGGAGCCCCATTGGCAAGCGCTGTGGAGCGGTCCGCTCCCCGGTTAGTCGATTGCGAGGGGATGGCTCCAACGAAACGTTGTACTCATGGTGTGTCAGAAGCATCGAGTGCCTCACTCGGGTGCAAGGACTTCCGACTTTGCGTTTCCGTTCGGCACCGCGGGTCATGAAGATCTTTAACAACTGCATATGGTATTAGTGCATGCATCTAAATGGGACGTGGGTATGGCTNGGGTCATGAAGATCTTTAACAACTGCATATGGTATTAGTGCATGCATCTAAATGGGACGTGGGTATGGCTCCATTTAGGACCGTTTTCCTGCAGCACTTAAAGCAAGGTTTGCTACAACTTATGGAGAGCCTCAGCCCTTTGTGTCACTGTGACCAGGGCGCCTGGTGACTCTCTTGAAGGCTAGCTGGTTTGGGTAGCTTTCCTTTCTGCAGTATCTTGACTCTATTGCATTCCCACGACGGTGCTGGGCCGAAAGCGTGGATTGCCACTTGAGGGAGGGACTGTGGTGAGTTGCAGCATTTATTACTGCACATAGCAAGGGTCTTAGAAGTCAGCTGAGGGCCTTCACGAGCTGCAGTTGAGAAAAGAACTCTAGTTTGGTCGGAAACGTAGGTGTGCTGAGGCTCGTGAGAAGAGAAACGGGCTGTCATGAGCTACACCGCACCTTGTTGCAACTAAAGGCTGCACTGCAGTAGCTTTGGTAGTGCCAAGCGCCCGTTGTTACATGCGCTAGACCTGTATACACTTGTTAAACATTTATTTGCTCCNTTGGTAGTGCCAAGCGCCCGTTGTTACATGCGCTAGACCTGTATACACTTGTTAAACATTTATTTGCTCCCCCGGAGCCAGTCTACGAGCATGTGGAGGTATGCGCGCCAGTGTCAAACAGACCATGCTATACTATAACTTGTGGGAGGGGACCGCACAAGCGAGCATAAGCAAGTCCACATTTGATGCACGTACCATTTAGAATAACCTGAGTGAGTATGGCCTGCGTGTTCTTGAATGCGTGCAGGCTGGCTACTGAGCGACACGCACTTGCTCAACACTTGTCTATAGTGCTAGTGTATGCAGCGAAAGTGGCTTGAATTTGCATGCATGCGATTTTGTCTTCCAAGGCCGGTCGCGAAGACTGCCTTGCAACTCGTGTCAGGTAGCCCCCTCTTCCTAGTGCTCAAGCCCATGGGCGGCCGGTGTAGTGCTTAGACACTGCATTGCCCACAGGTTGCGATAGCCTAAGAGCAAGGTAGAGAGTGAATACCCTGAGAGATTCGAGGTCTTAGGCTTTCTTCGTCCAGTTAAAAGTAGAATTCAGTAATATTAGTAGGATTATGAGTATATTAGTGGCTAGAGGTCTAGGGCCAGGCCTCGCCCGCATTCCGATTCTCCCCGAGAATAACAGAAACCTGATGTTATTCTGGTATTTGTTCTGTAGATTCACTGACATTGAGACCACGGGACTATTCAAGGGACAGACGTAGCCACGGCGAACGCCCACCGTGTATTACAGCCTTTCTCAGGCAGCCTGGTGAGTGGAAAAGGGGGCACCTGCTCTTTGCTAACTAGTCTCTTAGATATTTTGACTCTAGTAAAGCTCGGAACGACAGTCGAACAAGAATGGAGACTATCGTCACAGTTGGTAGCACTGCATGGTTCATCTGGGCAAGTGCGACCAGCAGTATGGCGGCCTGTTGCATAGCAGTGATTAGTGGCGGAAGAACCTCTGAAAAATTATTCAAGCACAAGTTCAACTTGTTCTCTCCTCGCATAATGAGGAGAGACTAGGATCTGCACTCCGGTGGGGAAGCCCCCAACTGGGATGCTTGCCACGTTGACAAGTGCAGTGTGTGTACGCCCGTCGGCTGAAAATAACATCGTGCCCTGAACTATTCATGAAGGCTGCCTCTGCGTTTGCCGGCCTTCCACATATGACTCAATGCAGAGGCAGTGGAAAAGTTCCTTGGTCTTCTTGAGTCGTATCTTCGCCTTCAAAAGGGCTCCGACTATTTACAATTGCTGCTGGCATCTTCTCTATTAGAACAAGACATATGACGATTGTGGTTACATATTGAGCAAGGATACCAATTTTTCGAAGCACAGCCGGACTATGGGAGCATTCTGAGATGAACTGCAATCTCAGCGTATCGCCGGGTCGGCAACGGAACAGTCTGTGGCAGGAGTGAGAAAGCCGAAACAACGGACACTGTTGCCATGGCGTTACATCGAGATGCATGCATCCTTGGTGAACAGAAGTCCAATGGTAAGCTGCGGACTTTTTGTATCTATTCTTCAAAGCATGGCTACCACCCGGAGAGAGGCTCGGGAGGGCCGCTACGAGGGAACTAAGGAGTGAAAGGGTTGAACTCGCCGAGATGGTGGAGCAGTTGTGCATCAAAAGGAGGCGAAGCACCGATTCCGCCGCCCTAGTGGAAAGGGGAATAAACCGCTCTTTGAAATGACTCAGATATTCAGCCAATGGACGTCGGGGCTATGGTGCAGTCTACGAACAGGAAAGGATACAGGGCGGTAATCGGCAGAAGCTGACGAATTCGCTATATAAAAGTCGGAAGCAACTTAGCTCAAGGCGAAACTGTTTTTTCCCCTAGAAGCAAGGCCACATAATTCGAGACTGCATACGGCTGAGAATACATAAGGAAATGGAGACGCTATACTACCGTATGGAGGAAGAATTGCGCTGAACGAGCTGATAGGGCCAGGCGCAGTTCCAATTTCGAGCCAACTTTGCCCTTATACAAGTTTGTATTGATGGTAAGGAGTTGCTGACGCTGCCAAACATATGATGCGAACCGGATCTTATATCTGAAGCTACGGTAACGTCATGCGACTTGCCAGTGTAATCGTGGGCCCTGCCTTTGTAACTACGGTTCACTGATAGTAGACGGGGCACTGCAATCGGCAAAAGATGGGCTTAAAATGTGAGCTTAGTTGAGAAGTAGGTAACACTGGAATGATTCGGAATTTCTGCGTTGGACCAGTTCGCCAGATACTGTTTCTATAACGCTTGCTCTTTGGCCTTAATTAAGGAACGAGCTGCAGTGTATGTAAAACCTCAAAGTAAGAGTTTTCCAAAAGCGGCTGATGTAGTGAATACTCCCTATAATCACGGTAGCAATGCCGTGCTCGTTGTGAAATGAGTGACGGTTGTACGAATAGTGAAAGTGTCCTTGAGTTCTTATTGATGCACTTTGAATATAACATTGGAGAAAGCATTCAGCATTCTTTATGGACTGATCATTGGTATGGTTATAGGAGAGGCTGGCTTGTGCCTTGGTGCAAAAGCTATTGCACCAAGCTACGCCGTCTCCTCTCCCAGCCCCAAGGCCGCAGTGCTTGCTCTACTGGGGTTCAGAGAGGACAATTACCAGAGAGAGAACAAACTGAGAGAACCTATTTCCTTAACCTTGGTTAGTTTGATATGTTTTGTTCAGTGTGATAGATATTGCTTGCCAGCTCGCTATACTCAGCTGTGGGGTCCCAGGGATGCACCCCACAGTAGCCCTTCAGAGATACAATATAGTAATACGTAAAGCTTTCTGCAAATATTTGTACAAAAGTTAACTTGACCAGATCTCAGCAACTGCATGAGGGAACTGACGGCTCTCCCCCAATTCTCATCAGCTTACAGGGCCTGCAGTACCTAGAGTGTTTTGGAATCCCATCACCCCGTCGTGTGAGGGAACCTGGATCCCTTCTACGCAGCACAATTGTGTTTTTCATCTGCGTTTGTGTTGTCGTTGGGGGCACAAGACGGAGAGCTGCTGGCAGGGACTGGTGCATCTACGACGTAAGCGGGATCAGGTTCCGAGGGTCACATGATCCCTAAGGCCCCGAACTCCCCTTAGACTGGCGCTTCTGAAGGGGAGCTTCTCACGGCGGACTTCCTTCCCTTGGCCCCCGGCGTCCTGGGCGTTGTGCTCATGGCCTGGATGTTGCGAGGAGTAGGCAGCGTGAAATGGGGTTGCAGCACACCTCGCTACGGCTGGTGATACCAGCCAGCCTCACGCGTGCACACAACGAAGCTTCAACGACTCTTCCTTTTCTGCATGCTTTACATCTGAATACAATTATAGAACGTTTGTATTTGCTAACATGCAACCTACCGAGGCCAAGTGGAGGCTCCTGCGCGAACTGCAGGCAGAACACGCTACTGTTTCCCAGGAGGTAAGGATATACCCACAGTATCAGCCGATTAGCGTCGTGCCCTGCTGTTCAAAATGGCTTATATGGAGTGGTTAATACTCCTTTTTAGAAAGATGCACTGAAACTTTCTTTTAATTAATAGGCAAAACTTATTAAGTATAATATTATTTATTATTATTATTAATTATTAATTATTAAATCATAGGGCTTAAGTGTATGAATTTAGAGCTCCTATGCACCAGTCAATCAATCGGGAACGTAACGAAATGATGAAGAGACGCGCGAAAACAACTTCACGCACGTAGATGAAATTTATTAAAATATGAGAACAATGTTCTGGCTGGCTTGGAGCCCACGTCAGTAACGTCCCTTCGGGACCCAGGGGATCGGTTCCCTGTTGGCGCCACGTTCAGTCGGCTGCGGCTTCATACAGGGAGGCAGGGCTCCAGCTTACATACAACAGTGTGAGTTAACAGTTTGATCCTAACGACAAGCTAATGCTCGACAAAAGCTTGCTCCTAAGTGAGAAGTGCGAATCATCATCTAAGAAGGGGAACGAAAATACTAGCTGATCTAGTAGAACTTCTCTACTGCAGTGCGCCAGCACTACTTCTAGTGTCTACGGCGCGCAAGGGCCAGCAGCTGAGGGACAGCATCCCTGCGACCGTTTAAATTTCATTTGTATGGTTTTTACATGAACATCGTTCGTCTTCCGTCTTATTTATTAGGTTTTGCCGTTCATCCCGATCATTTTTCGTGCTTGCGGAGCCTTTTCTTGACCTCACTACCCACGTCGCTCCCGTGTTCCGCTAGCAGTTGTTGGTTCAATGCTCTGCTCCGATCTGGACTCACCTTCACTCATTACGGGCGTTTAAACAACACAAAACAATAAAAAAATTTAACCTTAAGCATTTCTACGTCTTTTTGTTGGAAGAGAAGGAAGCTTGGCGTATTCCGAGCCGCAGCAAGTGCACACTGCAATTGCAGGTTGCGCAGCTCATGGCTTCNAGGAAGCTTGGCGTATTCCGAGCCGCAGCAAGTGCACACTGCAATTGCAGGTTGCGCAGCTCATGGCTTCCGTTTTAACGCTTTAAAGCTGTGATCCAATGCCCGAGTGGTATAATACTCTCCAAGAAGATGGAACTCCAAGCTCTGTCTCGGCCTTTTTCTCTCCAGGGGCGCCAACGCTGGGATCGATCGTTGGCCGGACGGGGAAGTTGAAAGGCAATGACTTTCACTCCGTTTCGTGTCTGCGTGTCTCTCTGGCAATATTAGCATCCATGGCAGCGATTGCACTGCTCGTAGTTTCCTGTTCGCGCCTTTTGGAGAGACGGCCGCTCCAGGAACTTCGAAGCCGCAAGCTGGCCAGCTCAGAAGAGAGCGGCGTGCAGATGGATATTTGCGGCGACACTCGTGAAGAAGAGGAGGAACAAGAGAACCACAGTCCGCATCCTCCCAACTTGCCAGGTGGCGGAGAACGGCATCTGCCCCTTAAGAAGAGATTGTTGGTAAGAACGACTGAGCTTGGTGCTGCTGGCGGCACCAGCTGGCGTGGGAGTAATCCGCAGCAGAAAGAGCAGCAGCAGCAACACAATCAAACCGTTGCAGCTGCGTTCGGTTTACCTGCAGCTCAACAGGCTTCAAGTCCTGCACATTGGGGCTCACCATCACTTGCTGCTCCCACCCCGCCTCCTGTAGCCCNGCTGGCGGAACGAGGGGAACAGCATCCCCGAATGTGCGACAGCTGCAGCAAGAGCTGCGATGGCTGCAGCTGCAGCAGGAAAGAGAGCGACAGCACTGGCAAAGCAAGGTACAGTGGGACGATCAGGAAGAGCTTTACCCTCAGCAGCAGCAGCAGCAGCAACTGAATTGGCAGTACCTTCTTTGGCAGCACCAGCTGCGCCAAGTGCAACAGGAGCAGGAGCACCAGAACGTGATTCAAGGACAGCAGCAGCAATACCATGTAGCCGCTGTCCCGATTGGCACATCCCCGGGTCAAACGGTTCCGTTTTCGCAACAGTTTGGCTTTCCACCATTTGCAGGGCAAAGCCAACTGCATTCTTCGCAGGTGCGTCCCCAGACAGAGCCAGATGCAGCAACGGGACTGCTGGATTCCCGCCATCACCACCATGCTGATGGACATTTTGCTTCACGCTCAAGGCAACCTGTCCCCATACAGGTGCGGCAACTACAGCGACAGTTGCGCCGGATGCAGCGCCAGCTGCATCGTGAGCTGCCGCGGCTACAGCGGCAGCTGTACCGGCTGCAGCAACAGCTGCAGAGGGAACGGCGGCACCGGCGACAGCAGCAGGCCCAGCTCCACCAGCAGCATCTTCATCAGGAGGAGATGCGTGAATCGCAGCAGCAGAATCTGCATAGGAAGCAGCTGGCTTGGCAGCAGAAACAGAAGCTGCATTATTTGGGTCAACAGCCGCGTCAGCAACAACAGCAGGAACAGCAGTTCCTGATGCAGCCGCAGGGACAGCAACAGGTAGTACATG